ATATATATATATATATATATATATATATATATATATACACACAGGATGTTTTCACACTACAAAGAATTACTGACTACATTTTAAATATTATTATGATTATTGTTATTACTATTTTCAGCAAATCGTGATTGGTGAGTTGTAACAATCCCTGAATTAGTCCTAGAAATATAAACAAATAAAACAAAATCATTTCCTCAAATTATTCATAATCGGGATATGAACCTATAAACACGAGATCTAACAGTCATAGTAACATGTAAACTGGCTAAAGATTTTGTATGAAAGAAAAAGCAGAGATCAGCTCTGCTTTGTGGGAGAGGTGAAGGTTTAACAGTTCGCTGATGAATGTAGGCCCTCGATAAGTATCTGTTAAATGGATAAATAGATCTTAAACAATAAATGAAATTCATCATATGGGTTGTTGGTAAAAGTAGGTGGTAGAGCATTCTAAAGAAAGGAGCTTAATATATCTATGCCAAGTAAAAGCATGTGATTTTTTAAAAGTAATTATGATACTTTTTGTGTGATAATAGATATGAGAGAAAAACTGAAAAGCAAGGGCCAATAAGTCATGCATTGTCTTTTATTCTCGATCAAGAGGTTTGGAATTTATTCTGTAGGCAAAGGTGAGACTTTTTGTCCCTCAGTGTTAAACAGTAGAATGAAACAGTCATGTTTCATTTAACTCTGTTTTTCTGCACCTCCCTCCTCCCCTTAAGTCTGACTCAAAAACCCCTTTGGTGTCTCTGGGCAGCTCGGCATCCAAAACCACATATGGTTTCACTGCAGCTTTTAATCTTCTATGTAGCAAGGAAGTCTGAATATACACCATTTAGTATGGGACAAAGATGTGCACTGTCTTCCTAAATCTATCAGCTCCCTGAGAACTTACATAAACTTTCCACTCCATGTGTAAGTTTGGTAATATGTGGTTTGAACATTTTGCTACAACAAAATCTTAGGATTTTCTTTCCCAGCAAACTAGCTTTGACATGAATGTGTTAGACAGAATTCTATGATAACACTCTATGACCGCAATCCTTGTATAATCTCTTCCCCTTGAGTGTAGGAGGGATGTGTGAATATGATGGTAACATGCCTTGAACATGTTACCTTATATGACAAAAGGAATTTTGTATATATAACTATGGATTCCTTTTGAATTCATCAAAGGCAGATTATCAAGGCCATCCTGACATAATGAGGTGAGGTCTTTATAAAAGAATGAAGAGTCAGAGAAACATTCTCCTCCTGGCTGGGAAGAAGGGGAACAGCCATCTTGTGAACTGTCTATGGCGGTCATGTGGCAAAGAACTAGGAGTGACCTCGAGGGGCTGAAAGCAGTTCCTGAGTAACAGAAAGTGGGGATCTCAGACATATAGCCTCAAGGAAATGAAATTTACCAACAAAGACCTGAAGGGGATCCTAAAACTCAGATGGGAATTGTAGCTCCAACCAACACCTCGATTTCAGCCTGGTGACACTGAGAATAGGACCAGGTAAAGTCCTGTCTGCAATTCTAATCCACAGAAATTGTGAGGTAATAAATGTGTGTTGCTTTAAGCCACTAAGCTTGTGATAACTTGTTATACAGCAGTAACAGAAAACTGAGATCTAGAGAGGCAAGGTTTTTCTCATGGTCATAAGTCTGGCAAATACCAGACTTGAATTTCTGATTGTAAGACCCAGCACTTGAATATGAGGAAAAGCCAAAGTCTAGAAGAGTAGTTAAGGGGCATTTCAACCATGAACTAATAAAGACTTGAATTAATGAATAAAATAGAATTTGTTTTAAAAGATGGATTTGAAAAAGAAGACAAGTTTCAGGTGAATGTTGATGAACAATTCTGGGAGGTGGAGCAAAAATAAGAGTCAAAGACAATAAAATTTGGGAGCCTGAGTGACTTAAATAATGAACATGTGAAAATAGGCAGTAAGACAAATTAGTTCAGAAATAAATGATAATTTGTTTATTCTTCAAGGTAATGAGGTTGAAGTAATTATACAGCATCTAAAAGGTTATGCTTAGTGAGCTTTTGGAGTTAGGTGACTTCTGATTAGGAAAGGAATTTTGACAATACAAAGGTCTATCATCTCATAATGAGGGAAATGTTTAGTTTTAGACTTTTTAAAAAGTCATCATCTTCATGTGTGCAGTATACTTCCAACAGAACTTGCCTCAGTATTTCCTCCCTACCCTAAGAATGGTAGTAGTAACCATTACTACCAGTAGTAACCAGTAGTAACCTATATAGTAGTAACCTGCATACCATCAAACCTGACATTGTGGTAATTCATTTAATCTTGTCGGTACCTAGTAGTATTGCCTGTATTCTACAGGTGTTATTTACTTAGTATACATTGTGTGCTTCAAATGTTTGACCATCAAGCATAAGTTTACTTTAACTGTGTTTTCCTGTGTGAACAAGCCTTTTGGCATATACTTTAATGTCAATCAAAAATAATGCAGCCACTCATTTTCAAATTGGCTAAATACAGCATAATTTTACTGTAAACTTCTTAGTAAATAATTTTTCTGCATTTTGAAACAAGAGAGTGAATTTATTAATGCTGTGCTTCTCTAAAGGTGGCCTTTAGACGGCTTGGATCAGAATCACATGAGGTGATTAGTTTAAAAAATGCAGATTGATGGTCTCAATGCAGACTTTTAAAATCAGAATTCCTCAATGTCTGGCCTAGAA